AGGTTTTTTTCTGGTTTCTTTTGTCATTTATTTCCAGTTTCATTGCACTGTGGTCAGATAATGTGCATGGGATAATTTCTATTTTCTTGCATATACTTCAGCATGACCTATGGCCCAGGATGTGGTCTATTTTAGAAAATGACCCATGTGCAGCTGAGAAAAATGTGTATTCAGCTGTGTTTGGGTGTCACACTCTGTATATGTCCAAGAAGTCCATTTGTTTTAAGCTCTGGTTCAATTCTGTTATTTCTTCTTCTTCTTTTTTTTTTTTTTTTGCGGAACTGGGGATTGAACTCAGACCCTTGCACTTGCCAGGCAAGTGCTTATTCCACTAAGCTATCTCCCCAGTCCCCAGTTCTGTTATTTCTTTAAATTTTTTGTCTGGTTGATGTATGTTTTTGGGATAAGGGAGTGTTAAGGTCTCCTGTTAAGATTGTGGTATTGGATGTTAGATTTTTCATGTCCATTAAGATTTGCTTTATATAGTTGGGTGCTCCCATGTTTGGTGCATACATATTTATGAGTGTTTCCTCTTCCTCTTGTATTTTTCCCCCACCAGTATATAGTGGTCTTCTTTATTTCACTTGATCATTCTTGAAGTTGAGACTGTCTGATAATAGGATTGCTATCCCTGCTTTTTTCTGAGGTACTTGGGCATGTAGTATTGTTTTCCATCCTTTGACTTTCAGCCTATGAGTCTTTAAGAGTTAAATGTGTTTCTTGTATACAGCATATTGTTGGATTTTGTTTCCACTGTACCCATCTATTTCTCTTAATTGGTGAATTGAGTCCACTTACGCTGATGATTACAATTGAGATGTATTGACTTACAAATGACATGTTATTTACCTGTTGTTGTTTACTCCTTTTTCTTCTGTGTTTAATTGTTTTCCCTATTTAGTTGGTTGCTTCTGATCGCATTCTTGGAGTTCTTATCATTTTGCTTCCTCTCTAGAACATCTTTCAGGAGCCTGTGTAAGGTTGGCTTTGTCATCATGAAATTCTTTTGTTGTTCTTTGTCATGGAAGTATTTCACTTCTCCATCAAACTTGAAAGAGAGTTTTGCAGGGTATAGTAGTCTGGGCTGGAATTTGTTTTCATGGAGGACCTGAAGTACTCTGTTCCATGCTCTTCTTGCCTGCATGGTTTGTGAAGAGAAGTCGGCCGTCATCCTGATGGGTTTTCCTTTGAATGTGATCTGCTTCTTTTTTCTAGTGGCTTTCAGTAGATTATTCTTTGCTGAATTTCTGGGATCTTGACTATTATATGTCTCGCTATGTTTTTCATTGGGTTGAGGTTCTTTGGC